ATAAGGAAATGAAAAAAATACTTTTTAATTTATTATTAATTAATAGTTTAATCAGAAATTATTTTGGTAATAAATTAAATAGTTTAATTAATTAAAAGTGTTGAATATTAATTAATTCCTAGAGATTAATTGGAATATTCTAGAAGCCTCCTAGAAGACAATTTGGGACAGAAATTAGGATAATTATCCTAGTATATGGTAGGTTTTGATACGGATAAGGATTATCCTTAGGAAATTGATTAACTTAAGGATTCTATTTGTTGCCTATAAATAGGGTGCTAGGGATCAAATCGTAGAGCATTTTTTTGCCAAAATTTCGTGGTTTGTGTTCTTACCTTTATTTACTTTAATATTAAAGTAGGTTGTTATAATTAGTAAAACCAATATATTATGGTGCATGTACACTTAGGTAAATTTTGATTGTTTCCGCTATCTTTTGAAAGTGTATTAATGTATTAATAACCTAACAATGGTACTTCCTCTCCCTTCATGCCATTCATACCCGAAGGGATGTAACTCCTACGAATATCAACTAAGTCCAAGCAAAGCTTGAACTTCTCCATGAGCAATGATTTTGTCAACATATATGTTGGATTCACCTTGGTATCAATATTCAGTATTAAGAACATATCCGCTTCCAAAATATCACGAATGAAATTCAATATGACATCAATATGCTTCCTCTTCTCATGATACATAGGATTCTTTTCAATATTCAATGCACTCTAACTATCACAGTAAAATACAAGGTTCTCCAACTTCAGACCAAGACTCTGACTAAGCTCGTGTAACCATATCTCCCCTTTTATTCCTTCCGTCATTGACATGTACTCATATTCAATTATAGATAAAGAAATGATATTGTAACACTCAAAATTAGGTATTACCTTTGAAGCCCTTGAAATTTTAAATATTGCATAATAAGTCCTTTAAGTATGTTGGGCGTACTTCATGGGTACGCTTAGCATACCATGCATGGATGATCATGGAGGGCCAGCACATACGTTGGGCGTACCAAAGGGTACGCGCGGCGTATGTGACGAATGTTTAAACCCTAATTTTAGGACTTGAGACCTATATAAGCATCCTTATCTCATTTGAGCTTCACCCTAACCAGCCTCCTTCACCTTCAAACATCCCTGAAAACCCTAAAGTCATTAGAGAGTGTGTTCTTGAGCTTTTAAGTGCTTAAAACCCATCCTTTTTGTATGTTAGCCACTAAGAAGAAGAGGAATCAAGCTTAAATGAAGAATAGATTCTGGATCTTACATTTTGAGCAGTCTAGGAAGCTTAAGGAGGTAAAAAGCTTTCACCTTGGTTATCATTTCCATTTCTAGGGTTAGGTTTTTCTCCTTAGTCCCTTTTTGTGTTCTTGAACCATCTCTTGAGAGTTTGAGCAACTACAGAGCTTAGGGAGCATAGATCTGAAGTCCTTTGGTCCATTCATAGCATTAAAATGGAGTCTTTATGGATGTTTTGACCTCATGGATGGATTAAGACTCTTGGAAAGGTCTTAATGGGTTGTTGGGAGCATAGGGGACATGCAAAGGAGTAAAGTTGCCAACTTTATGCCTTAGGATGTCTTAATGAAATCAGAGCTAAAGTTTGGACATTAGAACATCGAGTACTAAGCACTTAATGGAAGATAGTGCTTAATATGTTTGTACGTTGGGTGTAAGTTAGAGTACATCGCACATACAACTCAGGGACTCAGTACACTACGCGTACCACAATGGTACACAAGGAGTACGCACATCAGATGGACTCGGAATTTTTTTTTTGGCTTGTAAGCATTTGGGCCTTAATTAGTCATTGGGCCTCATCATGTTTTGGAGTTGGTGGGTCAGCTTATATGTTTTGGGCCATGGATACTATGGTTGGGCTTTATTGGGCTATGAGGCCCATTAAGGATTTTGGACATGGACTTTGGGCTCATTATCAAAGGAAGACTTTTTGGGCCATTGTAAAATGACTTAGGGTTTGGGTTCTTCAATTGGATTGTGTTCAATCCTAACCTTGGGTAATGTTATTAGTGTTCAACATGGGTGGTTACGGACTGTTAGGAGAGCAACTTTCGAATTCAGCAGACAGATGTGAGTCTCCTCACCATACCAATGGGTCTAAGGCACCAAGGCTGGCCCATTTTGTGATATGTGGTACACTAGCTATTGTAGAGTTATATGGTATGATATTTACCTATATGCTAAGTGGTATGCTAGTGATTATATGATACTTGCAGGGAAGACCATGGGAGGAGGCCATGATACTTGGACAAGACCATGTGGAGGAGCCCATGGCATGATGGTTAAAGACCATTGGGGGGGGGGGATCCCATGGCAGTCGAATGAAAGACCATGGGGGGAGCCCATGGCACTTTTGTATAAGACCATGAGGGTGGAGCCCAAGACATCCTTATATGTTTATATGCATGGATTATGTGATATATGTAGATTTTATAGCCAATATGATATGTGTTATGTGGATTGTGTGTGGGGTATGCTCTGGGGAACTCACTAAGAATTAGCTTATAGTTTGTGGATTTGTTTTCAGGTACATCTAAGCCTAAGGGCAAGCGCAAGGCTTGATGGCGCGGCATGCACTCTCTCTCAGGCGTTTTTATGGGACACTCAGATGATTTGAAATAAAATTGTATTTGATATGAATTTTGAAAACAATTGTATTTAGGATTTCATTGTTTTCAGAAAGTATTTTGGTTAATCAAAAATGAAAATTTTCTTTTGAAAAATCGGGTCGTTACAGATATCTTGTAACTTTGATTTCCAACTAATGGCACATCCAAACAAAGTCAAAATATAACACATTTGCAACTCGTGCTTCAACAAATCACCCCCATTATCAAAGTATGCATATCCAATCAAGCCACTTTTCTTATTAGCTTCATACACCAAGAAAACATATGTCGTTCCGTTAAAGTATCACATGATCCACTTGACATGTAACATACTGACTCCCAGGTATGAAATTTTAAGAATTTTTGTACATCATATAATACCTACTCAACGAGTTAGAGGCCCAAAGTCGTGGAGTAGAAACTAATAAGGCCGCATGGATTATAGAACCTACTCGACAAGTTGGAAGACCCAAACGCGACGAGTTGAGGGTATGCATGAAAACCCTAATTTTTAGGATTTGCACCCTATTTAAAGGACCTTAAGTCCCCTCAATGGCCTCCCTCACCACCTTATTGTCCAGAGAGAAACCCTAGTTGTGCTTTATTACTTTCTAGAGTGTGTATGAGATTTGGAAAGTAAATATTGTGTTCTTTTGGAGGAAACTAGAAGCTTGAAAAGGTTGGATTGCGTAGAAGGCCTTAGATCCGGGAGCTTCACTGATTTTGCAACCATTTTGAGGTAAAAAGTCGCCATCTTGATCACTCCTTAGTTAGATCTCTCCATTAGAGATTTTATGGTCACTTTTAGCTTATTCTTGAGCCATTCTTGGTTTTGAGCATGCTTTGAAACTAGGACTTTAGATTTGAGCATCTTAGGGCCTCGTTCAGTATGGGAGCCTGGATAAAATCTCAAGATATCATAAAATTGGATCTTAATTTAATGTTGGTGGACGTTGGGAACTATGGTTCATTCTATGAGGTTGTCATTGTTTTTTACCTGACCAATTTTGTAGATATCATATTAACATCCTTTACTGATTTTGTATTCTTAATTTGATTTGGTGTTTGTCATTTTAGATAAGTTTACATAGTTTTCCCCTTTAACATGCAAATCCTTTTTATAACAACAACTAATTTTATGGGGTTTTAGTTTCGCATTCATCAATTTATGAAATTTGATGGTCTTTAGAGCAATTAAGGGGAAGGATAAAAATCATATGTTTACATTAAAGTAGTATACTTTCCTACCGATGTGATGAAATATTAGTTTGGGAATTATTTAGTCCAATTACTTCTCATAATTATGGATTCTTTTTTAATATAAAATTATTGTGAAATGTCTTATTTTTCAGGCTTTGTCTTGGTGCATGGTCCGATCATGGTGAAAGAATAGGTGGTTTTTATGCATGCAACTGTTATGAGGTAGCAAAACAAGAGGGAGTGGTAAAAGTTAAATTAAGATTTATATCATTTAATAAATCTTTTACACATTTGGAATTATTAAATAATAAATATTATATAGAGAAACAAAGAGATGGCTAAAAACTCTTTAGAAAGATACACTCATTATTATGAAAGATGGCTACAAACCAACTTGTAAGCTTACATCATTATTTTTATATTATTGTTTATTTTTTTTATAAAAAAAGCTTGACTTTTAACATGATAATTTTTGTTTTCTGCTCTGTAGTCTAGACAAAAGGCCCTAGCAGATCTTCGGCAAATGCAAAGCACACACATAAGCCATTTTTTTATACATCCTTTATTTTTTTTATTAAATTTGTAACAAATACAAAGCATATTTATTAATAATTTATTTTTTGTCTCAGTTTTGGGGGAATAATGAATATACAGACGTCGAGTTTGACAGGGTGTGTGAAGAATGGAATATTTATGTCGTAAATTTTATTTACTTGTGATATGAATTTGACAATTACTTTTTGATAAATTTGGAACGTATTTTTGAATTTGACATTATGGTTCGTGTAAGCTTTTTTATATATGTACGATGTTTTAATTTATGTTATTAGACATTAAATATGTAATTTAGTTTGATTAATAAATCACAATGGTTGATCACTTCTTTTTTGTTGTTAGGTGCTCATAAGTTCCGATCCCTCTATTCGAAGCAGGGTTATACTTACCAAAATCTGATTTCTTCAACATGATTGTGGACCACTATGGCTTCTCTGTCGAGGAGTTGACCCTGAGCGCTGTTAATAAAATCGTTAGTTTTGAACTGATTTTCCGATCTTTGGGCTGTATACCCACCTTCTGGGTTTTCCATTACTTCTTTTGTTCAACTACGAATTCTGGTGTTCGTACTTTGACGAAAGGCGGGGCATTGATCAGTTAATCTCTGAACAAGATGCCACAAAGAAAAATTGGCAAAGGCAATGGCTTTAGGTTAACCAGAACCTTGTGGGGTGTGAGTTTCGCAAAACACGAGAATTTACTGACCGCCTTCCTAAATTGTTCAGGAGCAACCTAACCCTCGACAAACAACTAGGAAAAATAACTGTTAGGGAAAACTGGGAAGATTCCGTTCTTGCTGCGGCTGGTATGAGAGCCATCTACCGAGCTCGTGGGAAGATGGTGCAATTGTACGTCGTGAGATGCGGTATCCACTCATCTCCTTTTCCCCATCCCCCACCTTTTTTTTGAAAAAGGAAAAAGGGGTAGGAACATAGTATCTTATGAGTTCTTATATTCAACTATTATTTGTGAAGGTGCTGAAGCCAAGATTTCTTTGGTGATGGCCCTGCGCGATCACTATCGGGGTAGGTTCGATCACTGGGAGATCGATCTTGTAGAGTATCTTCCCCTTCTTATGTCCAAAAGGCACATGCGAGAGCTTGCTGGATTGCTCTTGGTGGAAAGGGGAAATGTTGGTTCTAGCGGGCCTGCATCGCCTTCCCCGCCAACCGTTGGGGTCGTTTCCCCAGTTTGTTCGCCAGGTCTTGCTCCTCCCGGTTTGCCTATGGGGGTACAAGCAGGAAAAAGTAGTGCTCTTATTCGGAAAAGGTGAAGTTTGCGCGTGGTGTCGTTGTCAGACGATGATACAGAATCCTATGATGTAGGTCTTTATCCTTGTAAAGCGTGTAGGACTGTGTCTGTGGCCAGGCTTCTTGGCGGTACTGGGGGTATTCTTAATGATCGATTTTCTGTGCTTGAGCAGAAAGAGATAGTGGTGGCACCTAATTCTCTGGAGGCGTCACCCTTACCATTTTTTGGTTCACCATTGGTTAATCTTGGTTCCGGCTCTATGTTTGCGGGTGCACCGAGTTCGCCTGGAGGTTCTTTTCAGTTCGAGAAGCCATCCCTGTTTGGCGAAATAGGAACTTCGTCTCACTCCCCGTCTTTCGAGGCCTATGCTCCGGGCTGGGTGATTACTAGAGATTCCTTACTGTCGGAAGACACTACCGCCCAGGAGTGGAGTAGATGCGCTCATCCTCTAGCTACAATGAGTTTGCTTGCGGGTCAAGCACGTTCACGTATGGCTAATGGCCTTTTGTATGCCACGACCCAGACTTATACCCTTATGGTTGCTACCACCGCCGGTGTTTGTCACGTTGGTGCGAATAAGAGGCAGTTGAAAGTATTGTAGGGTGCCTTGGCAAGCATGAGGGACGAATTTTATGATTTAGAGGTGGTGCGCTAAGTTCTCACTGAGCAGAACTGCATTGTGGCCTGCGAGAAAGCCACTTTGGAGGATCAAGTGGCCACTTTGGACCGATCAGAGTGACTTGAGGACCAAGTGAGTTCTTTTATTCGGGAGAAAGGTGCGATGACGAGTGAGTTGGCTAGGTGCCAACATAAACTAGCCTGTGCTCGTGTTGATGGTGCGGTCACTTGAGGTAGTTTGCAATTGATATTGGAGAAGGGAGTGGTTCGCATAATTAATAAAGTTATCGAGAGGGCGGAATTCGAGAGCGGGATCCAGGGTGTTTGTCAGGCATGTAAGGCCCTTGGGTTTGAAAAGAGGAAGCAACTGGGTGGTTGTTCCACAAGTATCGGAGAATCTGAATTCCCAGATCCTGGCCGTGTTGCAAGAAGAGCTGAAGAGGTGGATGCCACTCTATCGTCCCTAGCTGAGATAGATTTCGCGGGCCTCTTTCGCTTGGGGGAGCTGGATTATGACGACCTCTGCCAGTTTTTTCACAGGCCGAATCCGGGAGGTTCTTTCTTACAATTCGAGGGCTAATTTGTGTCTTGCCCTTTTGTTCGTTGTGTAGTTGCCTTTCCATGTACTATGTGTATATTAAAAATGTTGGTCGTTAATAACCATAAATTGTGTATTTTGTTTTGTACTTTTTCATGGAAGTGTTCTCTTCCATTTTGTTTTTGTATGTATACACATTGTTGTGGCATGTTAACACATATATTATGAATTGTCCTGTGGTGTCTTTAAGGACATGCTATTGTACTGCACACTTCCTTGTTCTAGGGTTTGCATTAATCGGCTAATGCATGCTTCAGATGTCACATAACTGCTATTATTAAGGTATGCTCTGTTGATTTGTATGCTTATTTAGGCTTATTGTGTTAAGCCATGAAATGTTAGTCACTATTCTGGACAATACTGTATGGTCTATCTACTAATTCATAGGTCGAGATCGTCACCTCAAGACCTTTTACTGTTGTGATATCAGGGGAAAGGTTAGGAATCTTTTAGAAACCCTTGTTCTATGCCATTAATTTTGATTCATGCATTCTCAACTCTGAGATGTTATTGGCACATTGTAGGTAAAGATTATGACTCTTTTAAGATCTATGGTTGCATCCTTGCATAGATTTTGCTCAAGTAGCATAGGTGATCAACCATTGTGATTTATTAATTGTAGGATGGAACAATTTGATATGTAATTAGGCATATCAAATTCAAAAGCAAAAACTAATTTTTATGAAAGGGAGGCACACCCCATCAGACTTAAGGTGCTTTAAATAGTGAGCCAACCTTGTATCTTGAAATCATGAGTCCCTAAGACAGAAAGCTGGCCCACCTGCATCTTGGCCTTCCACGCAAAGTAAGAATGCCTCAGTGCCTACAAAATATGTTGATATATGCATACCATAGGTAAACATACAACTCAACATTACAAATAACATACTAACACCTCTACTAGCCTAACAATATAATATAGTCTAACAAGCTACTACAACCTAACTATACCTTAGCACACACGGATACCTATTGTAGTGGAAAGTATAATGAGAAAACTCACATGTTCAAAGAGGTGAAATCAACTACTCAAAGTCCAATGAAACAACCACCCGAACCACCTAACAAACAGAGACTAAACCTCAGTATTTAGCTCAAATCCTTAAAGTTGACCAAACATCAAAATTTTCAAGAAGTCAAATCCCAATGGTTGAAGTCAACGGTTAAAAAGTCAACAATTGGTCAACCAGGCGCACCGCACCCACTACATGACAAAACAATCGATTTTCTAGCATAAAATAGACATGTATCTGAAAAACCAAAAAATGCACCGTTCTTTGGAAGGGGGCACCACGTCAAGACCTTCTTTACAACTAGAAATGACTTAATCCATTAAGTCCACTCCCAAACTTCTAGATCTTGTCCTTAACAATGTATTAATGGATAAACTTTCGAACTTTTTTCATTAAGACATTCCAAACAAGCAAGATCTAAACTTTAATACCAAAAAAATGACTTAAAGAACGAAACAATTTACATGAATTCAAGGACAAGCACAAGATGGCAACTTTCCAAGTCCAAAAAGTCCAAAGAGCATTCCTAGGTGCTCAAAAGATATTGGACTCATCTTAATTCCAATATCATAAACAAAATGGACCAAAAAGTATATAAAATGGCCAATAATAAGATCTAGCAAACGAAAGACCAAGTTATGAACTTTACAAAAGTCCAAAAATGGAGTGACTTTACTGGATCCAAACTTGTAACAACTTTCCTTTCAACTAAATAAACTTTCTTGATCTTCAAGCTTCACTAAATCACCACCAAAACCAATAAAATTGGTTCAATGAGAGAGGATAAGCTCACAATACTCAAAGGAGGCTAGGGTTTCACTCAAGGAACATTCTAAGGTTTAAGGAGGTTGAGAAATAACAAATTGTTGGAGTTAATGCACCTTTAAAATAGTCACAAAACCGTAAAAACACATTCAGTCCATTGAGTCGAAAGTGTGTCACAATTATTAAGAGGCGTTCCTCTCTTTTGTGATTAATTCCAAAGTTTTCAGCAAATGCAATAAATGGTTTCCTGTTTCGCCCCATCATTCCAATTTCTTATGGATTATAAAACCCTCAATTAAAGTCTGGAAAAACACCATCAGAGATAAGGTGTTACACATAATTTATGATAAATTAAAATCTGATTCCAAATTTCTGATAATCTGAAATCTGATTCAAAATTTCTAATAATTTAAAATCTTATTCAACATTTCTTATAATCTAAATTCTGTTTCAGAATTTCTATTCATTTAAAGTCTTATTCAACATTTATGATAATATGAAATATGATTCAAAACTTATGGTAATCTAATAAGAACTTCAACATTCAAGTTATTACAGCAAATTTAGTGATACATAAACATTAAGGGCCAAATTTAATGATAATCTAATTTGAAATTTTAGATTTCGGATAAATATTATTACATTAATATTACTGATTTTCTCATGTATGGTTCAAGGCTAAACTAGAACATAAACCCAATTTACTGAATACTAATTTAGGGCTAAAGTGCTAAACTAGAACAAAAAGAATAACATAAACTTTTACCGAAATATAACTGATTTCAGTCTTCAAATAACTCAAAGATGCAATTGGTTTCGTTGATTTTGAGAGGTGACTCGTCTCATGTATGTATTATGTATTATCGCTTTGGTGGTGGTCGACTCAACTAACTGACTATCGTTGGATGTTGGTTATAATATATATATATATATATATATATATATATATATATATATATATATATATATATATATATATATATATATATAAAATTGGGTCATGTGTAAATACCCATTTTGCCACTCAAATTCAGCTCTAATTATGTATTTTACCTATAGATCTATACCACATTCATTTGTAACTAGATATTAACTACGTTGTTATTTGATTTAGTTTCATTTTATACTCTCTGTAGAACGACCTCAATTTGAATTCCATGATTATTTAAAATATTTCAACCTTTTTAATGTTAATTAATCCGGTGATATTTACATACCAACAACCAGCATAAAATATACATTTCATCCATCACATTAATAATCAATTATTATTTCAAAATAGTAGTGTTAAATTGTCAATCTCTTCACATTTTGAAGATATATAAAAATTAATTTAGTTGCCTTATAATTTAATGAATTTTTTCTAGACCGTAGTCTACGGACAAGAGCAGATCCTATTTAAACATTTAATTTATTGAATGCAAATTGCAGATGCATCATACTTGTTAGTATTTTAAATTTTGAATATTAATTTAAATTTGCAGTCATTTAGCACTGAAAAATTATAAGACATACTGAGAAATTAAATAAAATAATAGACTAATTTCCTTTTTCTTGTTTATTTAACATAGAAAATAATAAAAAGAGAAATATTATTCATTTTTCATGTTTATTTAACATATACAATAATAAAAAGAGAAATAGACTAATTTCCTTTCCACCTATTTAAAACCTTATTTTTTTATAGAAAAAACAAAAAAATATTATGAAGACATGATAATTAACAAAAAGAAATTAAAATGCGCCTAGACACAATCACTCTATTATCATAAACATGTTCTATAACACCCGAAAATTCGACATAAAATTAAATACACCCATATATCTTCTTTAAAACATTAAACGATGGGCATACTATATATTAAACAACGAATTGCAAGTAGTTATTACACATAGCAAAAGAAAACCATAGATCAAACTGAGTAACACATTGTTATTTTTTACATAAGTAAAACTATACAAGCTTTCTTGCGGTTTCTCTATTATTCATTTAAACAATATCACTACTTCCTTAAATATGCATCAATAACAAATAGGGTAAGCTATAAGTTTAGTGAGTGAAACTATTTCATACGGTATTAACAAACCTATAACAATATCACTTATTAAAACATCTCCAAATTTTTAATCAATGATTCACCATATTCCAGTCTGTGATATTACAACCACCAAAGTTATCACTACTACTGGTCCATTGATATTATAGTCACCAACAATACCATGACCAACAATTCTTGATATCATGGTATTACAGTCACCAAGATTACCATTAATTCATTAGATTCATACTTAGGATATTACAGTCACCAATCATATCATTTCAAAAACCAAGTTTGATGTGCTTAATCTCTCTCCACAAAACATTATTTATATATTGATAAATGCAGTTGATTAATTATACTCAAATTGTACTTTGAAAGTAAGACAAGTTTTACTCACCTTATCACCAATTGGTTGCTTGAAGTCCCGATGCTCGAGATTTTATCCACGGCTGCATCTCCCATAACTGCTACAATGACAAAACCATGATCAAAACCAACCGGCACAAAATCTTATCCGATGCTCAAATCTGAAGTCCTAACATATGATACCTATGAGATGCATCAAGACTTGCTGGATCGCTACCACCAACCCATTAGGCTACGATTACATATGTAATTAGACATTTTTGTTTGGCTATCTTTGTCAAAATTATTAGCAATAATGATTAATCGTAGGAGTGGCGTTGGTGTAGTGGTACCGGTGGTCATGGTGGAGCACGGTAGTGTATTTGGTAGCGTTGGTGGTTGAGATAAAATGGTGAAGGTCATCATTCCCTGTTTTTAGAAATAGAACCACGGACGGGGGAAGAAGAAATAAGAGGATAATATGAAATTTGAAATGGGTCCAGGTAATTAGAGAGATTTTTAGAAGGGGTCAAACCAAATGAAATGAGGATAATGAAACTGAAACGGAGCAAACCCCTGAATCATACAAACACATGAAACAAAAAAGAAGATATATATGTTTATATATATATATATATATATATATATATATATATATATATATATATATATATATATATATATATATCTAAGAAAGCATTTTTAGTAGGGAAGAGAAGGCATCATGCTTTCTTGAACCTGCAGGAAACCATAAGCCTTTTGTTAATATGAAAAGGGCAAACCAACCTTGAATCAAAGAATCACACATCAAGCATTT